AATGACTAGAAAAGTAAAATTCACCATGGCTGCATAACTGTTTTTCAACTGACATAGGTGGTGTATTCAAAGAAATAACTTATTTTTTAAAGAAACAAAAAGTGCATTATCAATTTAAATTCTCTAGAACCAACTAGGAATCTATAGGAACCTTATTTAAATCTCATTTTATTATACAAATTCAAGATTTGTTGTTTTATACATTTTGTCAAGAATAACTTGAAAATATCATGTCAGAATTTTAAATAATTCATCATCCAATGAGTTGAAAGAATTAATTCAGGAAAATATTTGCTTAGTGCACTTTATTTTCAATTTGAATACTTGGAATGGATGTTGTTTTATTGTTTATCATTTGTTGTAAGTATATGTGTATAATATACACATATTATGTGTATATTATATTTTTTTGTATTCACCTATTATGAACAAGAATTATCCTGAAGGTTTCTGATCTGCAATCAATCAATTAATCAATCTATATTCAAAATATATTCAATTCAATAATATAATAGTTCTAGCATTCCAGCTAATGTATTCATAACATCCCACTTAACCACATTTAACTTGAATATTCAATTTATTATTATTTTATGGGATGTATAGCTGTTGAGTTGAAATCAAATGTAAATTGAATACAAAAAATAATTCCGCTGAAGAAACCTTTGTTTAATCTTGCATTTAATATTATGAACATTTTTCTTCAATAATGAAATTCTATTGATATGTAGTTTGGTCTCAAGTTTGGTGCAGGAATATTGAAAATTTGAATAATCTAACACTTTTCTCCAAGCTTCTTTTTCTCAGGAATATTCCTGAGTTTTAACCATCAATCAAATCAGTTTTTTGTTGAACAAAAAAATTCTGATCACCATATTCAATTATAATGTATTTATAATCATTTATTTCTGTTACTCAATGGCCAACAGAAAAATCATGCAAAACTGATAAAAATAGCCATAGCTTCTCATCACTCATTTATTGTAATCATTCTGTCTTCAAAAATGATAATTTTGAAATGAAGTGTAGCTCATTTCATAGTTCACATTAATAATGAAAATGAATCATCCATAACCTATTTTTCTTCTCAGGTGGAAGGAATCTACTTTAACACTCCCCTACGAATCCAGCAAAACAGCTTGGCCCGTCACCCAATTAGAGTCATTCTTTTTGCCAGAATTCCCCGTTGTTGGCTCACAAAACGAGAAGAAATTCCGTACCATAGAAGAGGTCAGCAAGGGAACTTTTGGGAAGGTCTATAAAGTAGAAGATTCTCAATCTGGACAAGCATTTGCTCTCAAAGTACTGTCAAAATCAAAAGTGAGTGACACTCTCACACATTTTATACATAGTGCACAAGAGTGGCCTCAAAATGGACCCTTGTGGGGTAACCATCCCTCATTTTTTGTTTAGGCTTGTATTTTGAAAGTTAGAACATGATGTAGTTAATTTCTTTGTGATTTCAGATTGTGAAAGAGAATTCTGTCAGTCAAGTGAAGGAGGAAGTTGAGATACAAAGGGCTTGTGGTCACCACCCCTTCATAGTGAACAGTCCTGCTCATTGGCAAAGTAGAAAGAGATTGTATATATGTGAGTTTTTTTATTGTTGAGATTATAATTAGGTATATGAAATGATTTTTGAATTATTGCCAGTCTGAAAAGATAAGAATGAAAATGGGAAATACAATAGGGTGTGCCATTCTTATATTATATGACCTCCAATGACAGGTTGTTTTTTGTTTGCATTTTTTGTAGCTTTCTCCATAGCTTTCAAATATAATTTCATTTTCTGGTTTAGTAAATTGAACCAGTTTTTGAAAGAAAAAATCGGAAATTATGCTTCACAATGATTGAAACAATATCAATCACTTCAAATTATTTCTCACATTCCTTACATTCCTGACATTTTTGGAGGATATTGAAGATAAAATTCAACACTTGCAAAAATAAGGTTGAATGAAAATTTGAAATAATGCAAAATATTGGGCACCAGGAAATATGATTGGTAGTTATTAGAGATTGAAAACAAATTTATTTTTATAAGCTTTATCAACAATTTACTTGTGAATAATATTTATTTGTTTTTGTTTATGGCAATTATGATTCTTATTGTGGGATAACAGTTCAACTGATTCCTCACCTATTAATAAATTTCAATGAGTTTCTGCAAGAGAGTATTTCCAAGTGGGGTAATTACCTTTTGTTTTTTGTTTCATTTTAGTAACTGCATTTGTACCTGGTGGAGAACTATTTAATCTTCTGAAAAACTACTTGATACTGCCTGTAGATTTGGTCCGACTGTATGTAGCACAGATAGCATTAGCATTAGGTGAGTATATAATGTTGATTATGCACTTTATATTTATAGCTCTCACCTAACAAATCAGGTAAACTCAGTTCAGATTTAGTTATTACATTGCTAAATTAATAGTACGTTTATGATTCTAAGATATAATATGGCAATGCAAAATAGGTTACACCTTCTAGTGATACCAATATTATTGAAATAAGGGGGATTTTTGAGCTGATAACAATGTTTTGAACTTGTTTGTTGAGAGTTTGGTACCATTAGGGCCATTAATTTAGGAAGAAGAGTTTATGTTCACATAACCTCCCAAATTTGGGTTATACTTGCATCTTGCATAACACTTCTTCTGATGTTGAACTTGAGGTTTAAATTTTTTTGTGGTCAATGTGCTAGTAATCAATCAGGTGCCGGTCATGTTATTGTTATGGAGGTATGAAGCTAACCCTTCCTTAGCTTTCATTTACTCTTCATTTTCTACAACATGTAATATGTTTACAAATATTATTTGTTTGCCAATTTACAGTTAGTTGTTGATATATTTTGAATGATGCTATGTTTACCTATAGGTATATAATTATGTACTTCCTTATACCAGAGCCTATTCTGTCTGGAAGTTATTTGTTCAATAAATAAATAAAAATAAATAAAATAAATGCTCCCTATTCTATTCATTTGTGGGAATATATATATGTATATATATACTGCCGAGTGTTTTGCTAACAAATTTGTTGATAAGAAGTTGCTTCACATTTTGTTCTACTCATAGCAGACTGTCCTATCCAATATTGAGGTCTTCACCAATATTAGTTTGATAGCTCCCACTGCTAGAGAAAATGTTCTGTGTGGCATATGGCCAGAAAAGTAGTTGAATTTGATTTGAAACTGGTGCTGAAAGTGTAAATGTATTTGTCTGAACTTTTTTCTATCAACAATTTGATGTTTGATCATTCATTATCCGGTATTCCAATCCAGATTTGTTTTGTTTTTTAAAATTTCATGGCTATTTTTCGGGAACAACCCTAACGTAATATTGAAGGTCGGTTAATTTTTGTTGCTGAACTTGCTGAAGTTAATTTTGTTCCTTTTGATTTCTCTAGGATTACCTAGACAAAAGGTCCCTGCAAATAAAAGTAAATCAGGCACAACCAATAATTTTTCACCCGCATCAAGGACTCCCCCAGGGCTCACCCCTGTCTCCATTTTTCTACAATATATACTGTTTCGACATATTCAATTGGAACAATCAAAATCTACAAAATCAAAACACATTCATCTATGGCATACAATTTGCTGATGATACAGTCATTGTAAGTCATGAATCACTTGAAAAAACAGTTGAAGAGTTACAAAACGCAATTCGGAACACTATGGGATGGTGTGACAAGTGGAGGCTAAAACCAAATCCAGAAAAATCCCAACTGATACTCCTCAATAAAGAAATATCAGATGATTCACCCACGGTAACTGAAGTGAGAACTAGGGCATTAGTTGAATATCTGGGAGTGCACTTACATCGAAAACTGAACTTTAACCATCATACCCAGTTTCTGAAGAAAAAGTGCATCATAAGAGCTAAACATTTTCGAAGCCTAACCTACAAGAATAAAGGAATTAGCAAAAGAACTGCAGCACATATTTACAAAACCATTTGCCGCCCAATTCTTGAGTATGCTCACCCAATATACATAAACACGAAGAAGACGGCACTGAACGATTTGGAAGTAGCAGAAAGAGCTAGCCTGAGAGCCATTACCAAAATCCGGCACCCTCAAAATCCCCTTCACCATCCATCAAACGAACTTCTATATCGGCTGATCACGGTGCAACCTATTTCTGAGAGACTGAAAAAGCTAACATTGAAGTTTTTCAAAAACGAATCCAATCTCCAAAGTTTCCAATGTGTTTACAGAGAGATCCAACAGTGAACCCAAGACGGAAGTTTCCGGAAAACACACTATTGGAATGCTTAATCAATTCAGAAGACTGGAATTCCTTCAAAATTCTTGCCTCACAATAGACTTTTCTTCTTTTTTTTAAACTAGCAAATTTAATAATTCCATATATCTTGTACAAACAATAATGATGAATTTTAACTCAATGTATAATCACTGTGTGATAGAACAATTTTTGTGTAACACAGGCTGAAGGACCTCGATCGGTAGCCTTTTGGTTGTCCAATAAAGCTCCTTAATTATTAAATTATTTCTCTGTTCATCGCGAAATGTGAACAGAGAAAGTCCTGAAAACAAAACAACTTCAGCAAATTGAGTAGACACAATTGGAAAGACATATTTGACATGACTGTCATCTGTGACGTCAAGCTTTCCCGGTTCATTGCCATTTGAATAGTATTTCAATTGTTCATGCTCACCTCCTCGTATCGGTAGCTCTGCTACCGTCCTATCCGTTTTCCTAAAATTCCACCGAGCAAAAAAGTTCTTTTTCCAGATTTCCTCCACAACGCCGGCATCATCTACCGCGACGTCAAGCCCGAGAACATCCTCCTGGACCATGACGGCAACGTCCAGCTGATCGACTTCGGGCTCGCCAAGTGGCTCCCCTACACCAGCAAAACCAACACCATCTGCGGCACTCTCCGTTACATGGGTATGATCTAGCGACAGTTTTCACCAAAAATCCGATAACCGCGTGATCCGACTCGGCTGTGATCAAAATTGTGATAAGATTCGAGATGAACGCCAGATCTCAGATATTCGAATTGACGGTGGAGGGCAGGCAGGCCGACGAGGCCGTTGCCAGCCTCTTCCACACCGTGCTCTTCCACCGTTCCCTAGGCAAGTTCACTTACAACGACGAAGGCAGCTACTCGGTGGGCACTGTGGGCTACACCGACGTAGACTGCGACTTTATCGACCTGACTTACGTGTGCTGCTCGTCTCCGAGTTTAGAGCAAACGATCCGCCGGGAGATCAACTGCTTCTCGGAGCAGTTGCGCGGCAACGAGGGCACAGGCATGGGGCAGATCAGCCTCGAGTTCTTCCAGAAGAAACCCAGCCGGTGGCTGTTTCAGCCCGAGTGCATACCTTGGGAGGTTTGGACCGTTAGGCTGGAGCTGATCACTTTGAACAACGAGGGGGAACGGCAAGTTTGCAGGGAGAAAGTGGGGGAGATGCTAACGGATAAAGTGTTGTATATTGCCGAGGTGATGAACAGGCACGACTATTTGCCGAAGATGCCGATACAGAGCGAGCTGGAGACCGTTTTTGACGCTTCGTATCGGGATATACAGCCCTACCTTTTCAAAGTTAATTATTCCATATCGGGGCCGTCGAGCGGAAGTACCGTCGGGTCGACTATGAAGAAACTCATTAGGGAAACGTTGTCTTTTTAGAGTTGTTTATCGGTGCAGCAAGAGGGAGAGAATGACAGAGTGAGAATGTGTGAGTGGTTCAGAAAACCGACTTAAACGTTTGAACTTATTCGTTAAATCACAAAAATATAGTAAGAGTAGCCACTAATCAATTTTATGAAAGACTGATATCAAATCATAGAAAGAAATCGGGATCATTGTCATGAGATACATGTTTAAATAATGCTGTTTGAAAAGTTTCATACAAGCTGGACTAGACTCACTTGGACTGACTTCGAGGACTGATACAACATTGTGTGTTACAGTTATGCATTGGTATCATATCACTTTCTTAGTTTTCCCATAAAATCATATAAAAGTACAACGAAAACTGATTTGGAATCAGGAGCAAGATCAATAAAACATACCAACTGACCTAACTAAAACCGACTTGAAGATCCATGTAGAAGGATTATTATAATATTTCTAAATCATTGATTTTCATCTCTGTATTTCAAACATCCATCTCGAAATTGGAATGGGGAAGATCAGCTTCGGCGACTGTTCCTGCCTGCTACACCGACGTAGACTGCGACTTTATCGACCTGACTTACGTGTGCTGCTCGTCTCCGAGCTTAGAGCAGACGATCCTCCGGGAGATCAGCTGCTTCTCAGAGCAGCTTCGCCGCAACGAGTGGGCAGGCATGGGGCAGATCAGCCTCGAGTTCTTCCAGAAGAAACCCAGCCGGTGGCTATTCCAGCCCGAGTGCATACCTTGGGAGGTTTGGACTGTGAGGTTGGAGCTGATCACTTTGAACAACGAGGGGGAACGGCAAGTTTGCAGGGAGAAATTGGGGGAGATGCTAACGGATAAAGTGTTGTATATTGCCGAGGTGATGAACAGGCACGACTATTTGCCGAAGATGCCGATACAGAGCGAGCTGGAGACCGTTTTTGACGCTTCGTATCGGGATATACAGCCCTACCTTTTCAAAGATAATTATTCCATATCGGGGCCGTCGAGCGGAAGTACCGTCGGGTCGACTATGAAGAAACTCATTAGGGAAACGTTGTCTTTTTAGATTTGTTTATCGGTGCGAGAGGGAGAGAATGGGAGAGTGAGGATGCGTGAGTGGTTCAGAAAACCGACTTAAACGTTTGAACTCCTTCGTAAAATCACAAAAATATAGTAATAGTCGCCACTAATGAATTTTATGAAAGACTGATATCAAATCATAGAAAGAAATCGGGATCATTATCATGAGTTACTTGTTCAAATAATGCTGTTGTTTGAAAAGTTTACCATTCAAGCTGGACTAGACTCACTTGGACTGACTTCGAGGACTGATACAACATTGTGTGTTACAGTAATGTTAGTTTCCCCATAAAACCATATAAAAGTACAGTGAAAACTGATTTGGAATCAGGAGCAAGATCAGTAAAACATACCAACTGAACTAACTACAACCGTCTTGAAGATTCATGTAGAAGGATTATTGATTGATTTATAGCAGAATGATCAGTGAGGGTTCAAGGCCCAAAACACTACAGCCTTTGGGCCTATTGAATTCTTGATCATGTTGTTGACTCAGGTGAACAGGTTTGCTACCTTGATGAGGTTTAGCAGCCTCTTCATCAAATCTTTCGTTGAAAAATCCTCGTGTGAGTTTAGTGCTATCAGAAGGTTGAATCTCCAATGCGCTAGTGCCTCGCACGCCATTATTACATGGGTGGCCGTTTCCTCCTCATTGCATAGTCTGCATATGGGTTCGTCTGTATAGATGGCCATTTGATGCATATGCTTCCTCTAGGGGACAGTTACCGTCACTTGTGTGATCTGACTTCTGTCTGGCTCAGAATGTCGTTAGTCATTGTTGTGGACAGTGTTCCAACCTTCCAACCATCAGTTTGCGTGTCTATCATGAGATATATGTTCAAATTGATATGCTGTAAAAGTTTAGCAGTCAAGCAGGACTAATACAAAAATGTGTATTATTAGTATCGATTCGCGATGTTAGATTCTCCATAAATTGGGAGCAAGATCAGGAAAAAATCAACTCAACTAACCACAATCGATTGAAGTTCCGGATAGAAGTCAAACTCAATCAAAATTATTGATTCATGCATCTGCCCAGCGAGCACAGAAACATCTCAGAGATGTTAAAAGTACGAGATTTCGAGACATTGAACCTCCACTGCGATGTTCTGTTCACACATGAATAGAACTATTATAGAACAGCCAATGTCCGCCGCAGGCGGCAATTATCGAGATGTCCTTGATATGTCACAAAATCCTTGTCACAAAACTACCTTCTCCCTACTTCTTTTTAAAGCCTTTTCATGGACACAACAGAACATTTTCAACGCGTCTTGCGCACATTAAATCGCTGTAAAAAAACCATTTTCGAGGTACTTTTCTGAAGCCTTTTGTCAAAATGAACTTTTGCATTAGGATTCCATTTCCCTTGAATGAAAAAATGCATTAAAAATAGATTGAACATAAAAATATTTTCTTGATAGGAAATTACCTTCTTAATCGGTTTCTGAGTAGTGCTTACTACACACAGACATATAATTGGAAATAGGTTTCCCAATTTTTGAAATGTTCTCCACAATGCATAATTTTGCAACTGCGGAGAAGCTGTGTATTGATAAATTCGTACTTTTATATATTGATTACACTGAGGCACCGAACAACACATCTTGCATCTGATGGTCATTATTGCAAACTAAATAAGTCTTCTAACACAATAAACTTCACCTAATTCCTTTCTGTTCGTTAGCAGCGTGATGTAAGCGTGACACGCTGCAAACGTGAATGCCAATTGTGAACAAGAAGAACAAAATCGAAAACAAATCAGAATTCATCGTATTGTGACGTAAGCATGAGACGTTGTGGTGGGGCAAACAAAGAAAGGGCACAAAAGAACAAAAACAATACTTTCAATATCCTTCTAAGACCTCTTTGGGAAGTGCATATTACGCCTCAAAAAAAAAATCCTCATGCCTACATTTCTAAAACATCCCAAAACATCCCAGTGATACCTCTCAGTAGGCAAACAAAGAAATGCCACAGAAGAACAAAAACAATACTTCAATATCCTTCAAAGACCTCTTTGGTCAGTGCATATTACGTCTCAAAATAACATCTTCATGCCAACATTTTCAAAACATCCCAAAACATCCCAGGGATGTTTGTGCTCGCTGGGTGTATTGCGGACATCTATCTTGAAATTGGAAGGAGACAGATCAGTCTTGGGAGCTGTTCCAGTTCAGTCAGTCTAGAGAGATACAGATATAAGTGCATTGTGTATTGTTATGCAATAATATCAATCCACAAAGCTGGATTTTTCGTGAAACAATGTGAAAAAGACAGTGACAACAGAGTTGAAATTTGAAGAAAGGAGAAATGGAAACAACAGCACTAACTTTCCACTTGAGTTCCCAGGTAGGTCAAGTTATTACAGGCCCATGGCTGTCATCCCAGGAATTTCCTTTCATGCAATCAAAACGACGATCACAGGTATTGACTTGGAAGAGTAGGCTACATTAAAATAGATTACGTCTTTACCGACGTGTGTGGCGGACCAAAGTTTTGTATTTACCGAGAAGAGGGAAAAAAGCGGAAATGAGAGTATGAGAATGCGAATGATTGAATGGTTCAGATAACTGATGTAAACTGCCAAATTTGAATGCAAACAATTTCAACACCCACAAAAGTGAGAATGCCTTGCCATTGATGGATTCTTTTAAATATATCTGAGAAATCAACGATTTGTCCCGAACAAAAAGAAAAACAATGATAAATACATTATCTCCACTTGATTTGTTGTACCAGAGGCACCTGATCGTGTACAAGGTTGTGGTCTCAGTTACCAAGAATTGATTTTGTTATTAGTAGTTGTTTGCTTTCTTCAACAAATTAAGTGGAGTAATTCATAATGAGGTGGCGCAAATGATATGAACCACCCTGAATGACTGCCAAAATAATGATCCATTTGAAAAACTATAATTGTCCTCTCCTCAAATATGTTCCTCTAAAAAGTTGACGTATATCAGTATCTTTTAATTGAATCATGAAGGGTATTCCCGTTTCCTTGTATATGGTATACTTACGAAAATTACTATTTGTATGCAATCTGGACTATTGATTGGATGAAATAATATATACAAAAAGTCAGTTTCGTTTCCTTAGAACTCGTTTCTCTATACAGGGTGATACAGTTTTTTGTAGCAGGACTTCAACAGCTCAAAGAAGACACTTTTTTGAGATTGAAATATCATAAAAACATATATGCGTAGGAGATTCATTTCCGATATGGTGGTGTGATATTTTTATATTTACATTTGTGTTTTTCAAGTTTCGCCACTGATTTTCGTAATCACATCTTATAAAAGCTTTCTCGGCCATTCTAAATCTTCTAGTCCATTACTGAGAAATGTCAAATAGAGTGTTTCAAAAATGAAGTTTTATCACAAATAAATTATTTTGGCATTCATCTTGAAATCCATGCAGAATTCGTAAAAGATATAGAAGAGAAAAATTGTTCCAAATAAAACAAAATCTGAATTGATATTTCATTGAAAGCAGAGACAGCACGCAGAAAAGTTCAAGAGGGTTAAATTGGGCACAATTCCCAATCGAAATCGTCTAATAGCCTTAAAAATTCAGTTTTTCAAGTCAAATTGGTATACCGAATTTCAATTCATTATTTTGAAAATTGTAGGAGAAAACTAGAAGAACATGGACAAAATCTTAAACTTTGACTCCCTGTTAATCGGAAACGAAGCTCCTACGCATATACAGGGTGTCTGTAAAAGGTTGGGACATGGATAAAAACAAGTTGAAAATATGTGTTCTTCAAGTTGGAATCCTGCAACAATAAAACTGTCTCATCCTGTTCAATGGCAAAGCTTTGGAATCATTTTCCAATGACCTTCTCTCCCTATCCTCCCTAGGAGCGTACCTTATGTAATCCTGGATTCCCTTTCGTTCGGCAAAAAAAAAATGTTGATAAATAATACTACCTGGAATCTACTTA